ATGTGAAAGCATGTATGAAACCGAACTACATAATAGACTATCTCATAGAGGTGGTAAAGTGACTGGACAATACCACCTTGTTGGTAGAAGCAAAAATAATAAAAAGCATCGTTACGTTGACTTAGTGATAGAGTCGCCTGGACACACCGTTGCAATAGAATTGGCAGCAACACTAAGGAAAAAAGGCCATTTACATTTTTTATGTTTCTTTAGAGAAAAAAAAAAACTTTTCCCATTTATATTTTTGAGATCTTGACGGACATTTTCTTCAAGTTCTTAATTATTCAAAGCTACTTTCGTCAAGCGAAGTACATAATAACAAAAAAAAAAAATCCTTATATTTTTCTAATCGAGATAAAAATTTTATTACAAATCATATACATAGTTTGTTTACAGGCCATCATATAATGGAAGAAATTTTAACACAATGATCTTCATCTATTCTTGTGACATTCTTTGTACGATTTCACGGCGGAAGATAAGGCAACAAAAGATCCTTATTGGCCTGATGATAAGGATCTTAAGAAGGGCCTTAGGGTCGCACACATTTGGCACGATTTGGATTTCCAAGAAATAAACACAATTGCATGTTGGTGGGACCACGAAAAGAATGAAAGGCATATAACCGGTGAAGAATCTTTGGTGCGTTTTATTACAGATTATTTTTCTTTGATTGCTTTCATGTATCATATTTTCTAACTATCACACTCAATTATAGATTCTATGCTAAAAGGATATAAGAATTAGTCTTATGACAATTTGGAAGGCTATACAGTATATTAGCTTGGACATACAAATAAAATGTAATATTATATATATATATATATAAATAAATATAAATAATATTTTATTTTTATTTTTTTATTGATTTAAAATTTTGATCAAACAGCTTTTTTTTTTTATTGATCTAAAGTTCGGGCAACTAGGCTTATGTCATATGATCATCATATGATTTTTATAAATAATTTATAATACTAAATGTTTAAATACATGTATCTCAATGAATATCTAACCAATT